CCCCAAAACCCCAAAACCCCAAAACCCCAAAACCCCAAATGAGCACCAACAGTGGAATATAATGTTTTTGGATTATATAATTATAATTTTATAAAAATAAAGATGTTGTCCATGTTCGGAAAAAATCTTGCTAAAAGATGCTTCTCAACTGGCGCCCCAGCCAATGTTGGAAGGATCACTCAGGTCATTGGAGCTGTTGTCGATGTTCACTTCGAAGAAGAGCTCCCTCCGATCCTCAATGCTCTTGAAGTAGATGGATTAGATAGAAGATTGGTACTTGAAGTGTCAGCACATCTTGGAGGTCATACTGTTAGGACCATTGCCCTTGACTCTACTGATGGTCTTGTCAGAGGACAAGAGGTCGTTAACACCGGAGACCCAATTACAGTCCCAGTCGGAAAGGCAACATTGGGAAGAATCATGAATGTCATTGGAGAAGCTATTGATGAGAGAGGTCCAATTGACACTGAGCATTTCTTACCAATCCATAGAGAAGCTCCTTCTTTCGAAGACCAGAGTTCTGAGGCAGAAATCCTCGAAACCGGAATCAAGGTTGTCGATCTGCTCGCTCCATATGCCAGAGGAGGTAAAATCGGATTATTCGGTGGTGCTGGAGTGGGTAAGACCGTCTTGATTATGGAGCTTATCAACAATGTTGCTAAGAATCATGGAGGTTTCTCAGTCTTCGCTGGTGTCGGTGAAAGAACCAGAGAAGGAAATGATTTGTACCATGAAATGATTGAGTCTGGTGTCATTGACATCGAGGGAGATAAGTCTAAAGCAGCACTCGTATATGGACAGATGAATGAACCACCAGGTGCCAGAGCTAGAGTTGGATTGACTGGACTGACTATTGCTGAATATTTCAGAGATGAAGAAGGACAGGATGTATTGCTCTTTATTGACAATATTTTCAGATTCACTCAGGCTTGCTCAGAAGTGTCAGCCTTGCTAGGACGTATCCCATCTGCTGTCGGATATCAGCCAACATTGGCCTCAGATTTGGGAGTATTGCAGGAAAGAATTACTACTGTTAAGAAGGGATCAATCACATCAGTGCAAGCTATTTATGTACCAGCAGATGATATCACTGATCCAGCCCCAGCTACTACATTCGCACATCTTGATGCTACTACTGTGTTGTCAAGAGCCTTGACTGAGATTGGTATCTACCCAGCCGTCGATCCTCTCGACTCTAAATCAAGAATGCTTGACCCAGCCATTGTAGGAGAAGAGCACTATAACTGTGCAAGAGATACTCAGAAATTGCTCCAGGATTACAAATCATTGCAAGATATTATTGCTATTTTGGGAATGGATGAGCTCTCAGCTCAAGATAAATTGACTGTTGCCAGAGCCAGAAAGGTATCATTCTTCCTCTCCCAGCCATTCTTCATGGCTGCTGCTTTCTCTGGTATGGACGGTAAGTCTGTCCACCTCGAAGACACTATTGAAGGATTCAATGCCCTATTGAGAGGAGAAGGAGATGACTACCCAGAATCCGCTTTCTACATGACTGGTACTTTCGCTGAAGCTCTTGACAAAGCTAAAGAAAAGGAAGCTGAGTCTAAATAAATTATGCAAAATTTGATCTAAGCGGTTCAATAATATTAAATATATACGGGGTTTTGGGGTTTTGGGGTTTTGGGGTTTTGGGGTTTTGGGGTT